CTCGAAGCTCCTAACTCGCGCAGAATACATGCACATCACGCGTTTTGCCAAGTAGGATTCATGTGTTTATTTATTAAAAGGTTGGATAGTTAAAGTGCCTGTTTGTGCACTATGAAAGTTGGAGGTCAAAGTTAAAATTTGAAGCCAAGTTTAGGGTCCAATATATGTATTATGCCTAGAATTTATGTATCCAGCGTTTGAGGGTTTAGGAGTAAAATAAGGAATTTGGAAAAATTTAGAACTGGTATGAAATAATGGGAATTATAAAAAAAAAAGTGTATATAGGTAATTATCCTAGTTATAATATTCTAATTAGTGATTCCATGAGCTAAACTACGAGAGATACATAGATTGAAAATGAAGAAAACGGTTAGAAGTATTTGAACATTCAGACTGCAACCTCATGACCAGGGATAAAGTAGGTTAGAAATTACAAAGCTCTTTGGAAAGCTTTGCATAATTGATGAGCAGGGGCAGAGCTAGTAGCTTACATGTTGGTTTAGCCAAACTTTATAAATTTTGCTTAAATAATGTATTTATATTAATAAATTCATTAAATATATATAGTTATTAAATTTAAAATCTAACTATTAAGAACATAAAATCGTTATTCAAAACTCATAAAATTGAAATCCTAATTTTGCTTCTCTTGTAAGAGATGAGTTTATATTTTTCTGACAGCAACAAGTGAAAAAAGTGACTGGATAATGAATGTCAAAATGAAACAGCTATTAGGTTACGTTTTTAATTCAGAGCAAAGTACTGAGGTCAAAACGATGATGACGCAGACATAAAGTGGGACAAGCCAGGGATAATAAAAAAGGTTATAGGAGAAGATGTATAATCATTTATTTATATAAATTATAACTATTGTTGTAAAACAAGAGGAAAATGCAAGAATACTTGAACAAGAAAGTAAGGCAAAGTGTGATGGAAAGTATAAAGTTGAGAGTCTTATTTTAATCTCTTCAGTTGTTTATTTTTTAAGGGTGAAGAAGACCCTTTTATAAGAGGTAGAAATCATCCGTTTACTACCTTGACCAAAATACGTTAGTAATCTTTAATTCTTACATTAGATTAATACATGCATTATGTTAGGTTGATGAAAAGAAACATCCATATTAAATGGATTTGTAACACTCCCCCTTAGATGTTTATAGATAATGTGCCTCGTTAAAACCTTACTAGGAAAAACCCAGTGGGAAAAAGCCTAGTGAAGGAAAAAGAGTACACACATATTGTAATACGTCTTGAGTGCTGCCTCATTAAGAAAACTTACCAGGAAAACCCAATGGGACAAAACCTTGGCTAAGGGAAAAAGAGTACAACGCGTATTTTACTCCCCCTGATGAAAAATTTATTTGATATCTTGGAGACGACGCATTCTAATCTTATATCTTAGCTTCTCAAATGTTGACATTGGCAATGCCTTAGTGAATAAATCTACAAGATTTTCACTCGAACGAATCTGTTGAACATTTATCTCACCATTTTGTTGAAGATCATGTGTGAAAAAAAACTTAGGTGAAATATGCTTCGTTCGGTCTCCTGTGATATATCCTCCCTTTAATTGAGCTATGCAAGCAACATTATCGTCATACAATATTGTTGGAATCTTTGTTTGTCACAGAAAGACCGCATAATTGCAAAATGTGTTGAGTCATTGATCTTAACCATACACACTCACGACTGGCTTCATGAATGGCTATTATCTCTGCATGATTTGAAGAAGTAGCAACTATTGTTTGCTTCATCGAACGCCATGATATAGTTGTACCTCTATATGTGAATAAATAGCCTGTCTGAGATCTAGCTTTATGTGGGTCAGACAAATATCCCGCATCTTCATAACCGATCAATTCTGACTTGGATGCATTAGAATACAACAACCCCATATCAATTGTTCCTTGAAGATATCTGAATATATGTTTAACACCTTTCCATGGTCTTCTTGTTGGACATGAGCTCAATCTCGCCAATAAACTAATTGCGAAGAAAATATCTGGTCGGGTATTATTGGCAAGGTACATTAGTGCCCCAATAGCACTGAGATATGGTGTTTCACCAGCAAGAATCTCTTCATCCTTTTCTTGAGGTCGGAATGGATCTTTATTTATATCAAGAGATCTCACAACCATCGGGGTACTCAATGGGTGTGATTTATCCATGTAAAATCACTTCAAAACCTTTTCAGTATATGTTGATTGATGGATAAATATTTCATTTGTCAAATGTTCAATTTGAAGGCCAAGACAAAATTTTGTCTTACCAAGATCTTTCATTTCAAATTCTTTCTTCAAACACTCAACAACTTTTGAAAGCTCTTTAGGAGTTCCGATGATGTTCAAGTCATTAACATAAACGGATATTATTACAAATTCAGATTTTGACCTTTGTATAAAAATACAAGGACAAATAGGGTCATTCTGATACCCTTCCTTTAACAAGTATTCGCTAAGACGATTATACCACATTCGCCCTGATTGTTTCAATCCATATAAGGATTTTTGAAGCTTTATTGAACAACCTTCTTTTGAATTTTTATATGCTTCAGGTACTTTTAGTGCTTCAGGGATTTTCATAAAAATATTGTGGTCTAGTGAGCCATATAAATAGGCTGTGACAACGTCCATTAGATGCATTTCAAACTTTTCATGAACTGTCATATTTATTAGATACCTGAAGGTAATTGCATCTACCACAAGAGAATATGTCTCCTCATAATCAATGTCAGGCCTTTGCGAAAAATCTTGTGCCACAAGTTGTGCTTTATATCTTACGACTTTATCATTTTCATTGCGTTTTCGCACAAAAACCCATTTGTACCCCACTGGCCTGACACCTTCAGGTGTTCAGACTATTGGTCCAAAAACTTCACGTTTTTCAAGTGAAGCCAATTCTGTTTGAATTGCTTCTTTCCATTTTGGCCAATCATTTCTCTGTCTACATTCATTGACAAATCTTGGCTCTAAATCCTTTTCTTGTTGCATTATTTCAACTGCAACATTATAGGCAAAAATATTATCCACCACAATATTATTTCGATTCCACCTTTTTCTCGTCGAGACATAATTTATAGAGATTTCCTCATTCTCATTATTTTCAGGTACATGGACCTCCTCTTTGGTGTCATCATTTATTATGTCTCGGAGCTCTTCATGAGCAATTGCCTCCATATTATGATCATCTTGATCATTTATTCCTTTCCTTTTTTGAGGATTTTTATCCTTGGAACTAATTGGTCTACCACGTTTTAAGCGTGGTTCAGACTCATTTGCCTTAACATTTTGTCCTATCAGTACATCAACTCGAACTTGAGCATTAGCAGTTGGGATGTATGATTTAGTAACCCGTGGAAGGTTAGTAAATGCATCTGGCAGTTGATTTTCAATATTCTGCAAATAAATTATCTTTTGAACTTCTTGCTCACATTGATTTGTTCGAGGGTCTAAATGAGACAGTGAAAGTGAATTCCAATCTATCTCATTTCTCAACTGTTTTTGTTCTCCTCCTAATGTTGGGTATACTGATTCATCAAAATGACAATAAGTAAACCTTGTCGTAAATAAATCTCCAGTTCTAGGTTCCAAATATTTTATAATAGAACGAGATTCATACCCAACATATATCCCCAACCTTCTTTGGGGACCCATCTTTGTGCGTTGTGGTGGAGCAATTGGAACATATACCACACAACTAAAGATTCTAAGATGGGAAATGTTTGGTTCCTAACCAAAAACCAATTGTAATAGGGAGATGTCATGATAACTGGTTGGCCTTATGCACACAAGTGCCGCTGCATGCAAAATAGCATGCCCCCAAATTGAAACAGACAACTTTGTTCCCATCAACAATGGTCTAGCTATCAATTGAAGACGTTTAATCAATGACCCAGCTAAACCATTTTGAGTATGAACATGTGCAACATGATGTTCAACTGTTATTCCAGTGGACAAACAATAATCATTAAATGTCTGAGATGTAAAATCACCAGCATTATCAAGACAAATAGTTTTTATTGCATAATTTGGAAACTGTGCTTTTAACCTTATTATTTGAGCCAACAACCTCGCAAAAGCCATATTGCGAGTAGATAATAAGCACACATGAGACCATCTTTTAGATGCATCTATCAAGACCATATAATATTTAAATGGTCCACATGCAGGGTGAATAGGTCCACATATATCACCCTGTATCCGTTCCAGAAATGCAGGAGATTCCACCCCCAACCTTAGCCACTGATGGTTTGATAACCAATTTTCCTTGTGAACAAGCAGCACAAGAGAATTCCTTTGATTGAAGAACATTTTGGTTCTTCAAAGTATGCCCATGTGAATTCTCAATTATTCTACGCATCATATTATAACCGGGATGGCCCAACCGATCATGCCAAATGATAAAATCATTAGAACCAGTAAATCTTTTGTTTACTACGGCATGTGATTCAACCGTACCAATATTTGTATGGTACAACCCAGAAGAAAGTGCAGGTAATTTTTCATGTACAGTTTTCTTCTCTGCATTTATTGTAGTAATATAAAGGTATTCAACCTTTTCTTCATTCGCAGTCTCAGCATGATAGCCATTTTGGCGAATAACCTTGAAACTTAACAAGTTTCTATGAGACTTACTACAATACAATGCATTATCAATTACCAATAATGTTCCTCCAGGTAGTAATAAGGTTGCTCTTCCAGAGCCCTCAATCAATATTGTACTACCAGATATTGTATTAACATATGTCTTTTTCATTATTAAATGAGAGAAATATTTTTTTTTCTTAGTATCGTATGAGTTGTGGCACTGTCCAGAAGACACATATCTCCATTACTCATCTTGGATCCAACTGAAGACTGGAAAATTTTATTTATCTTCATAAAAATAAAAATACATAATAGAAGTACGAAACTTAACAAAAGAAAATTTATGTACATGAACTTTAAGTAAGACATTAAAAACACATAATATTATTCATTTCCCAGTTCAATTATCAAACTTCAATTGCGATCTCCAAAGAAGTCCTCACCTTCTAGATGAGTAATATCATCGAGCCCATCAAAAACATCATCTTTCAATGCTAAATTCGCCTCAACATTCTCATCATATTTTTTAGAAGACCCTACCTGAGCATCATTTTTAATAGTCAAATGTGACTCCATTAGGGCATTAGAAAAGAAGGCACCACCTTTATTCCCTTTACTTTTAAAGGAATTTTGATACAGCCTGACAAAATGCTCAGGTGCCCGACATTCATTTTTCCAGTGACCTTTAAGGCCACAACGATGACAGTGATCGCCCTTGCCTTTTGAAGGATTATTTTGAGAATCCATATTGTTCTCCCTTTTGTTATGACCACCACCTCGACGATTATTATATCGTCTTTTGCCTTTGCCACGTCCACGCACATTATTATGGCCCCGATTATTTTGTCTTATTTCAGACTGGCCGTGTGCTTCTACCCCGTGGGTCTTCGGTAATGGAGCACTTCCAATGGAATTGGGCTTCATGATTTTTCATTAAAAGGTCATTATGCTGCTCAACCACCAGAAGGCATGAGATTAATTCAGAGTATTTTTAAAACCCTTTTCACGATATTGTTGCTGTAATATCATATTGGAGGCATGAAAAGTAGTTAGTGTCTTTTCCAACTTGTCCTCATCTTTTATAACTTCCCCACATAATTTTAATTGGGAAGTGATTCTAAATACAGTAGAGTTATACTCAATTACAGTTTTATAATCTTTAAACCGTAAGTGCATCCACTCTTAACGAGCCCTTGGCAATACAGTTGCCTTGAGGTGGTCATACCTCCCTTTCAAATCTATCCACAATTCAAGTGGATCTTTCACTGTTAAGTATTCAAACTTCAGACTTTCATCAAAATGATGACGAAGGAAAATCATAACTTTCGCTTTATCCTGACTTGATGCCTTATTTCCTTCGATTATACAATCACCAAGACCCTTAGCGGTAAGGTGAATTTCAACATCAAGTACCCATGACAAATAGTTCTTTCCAGAAATATCAAGTGCCACATATTCAAGCTTTGACAAATTCGACATGATGAAAACTATCATAAAATAATTGAGTTAATATTATGATGTTGGTTTCTTTATAATAAATGATAAATTAATGTTCAAATGATAAAGTATAATATGATTATAAAATATATTATATGTTATATTCAAATAGTTCTTTCCAAAATGTCAAGTGCCACAAATTCAAGCTTTGACAAATTCGACATGATGAAAACTATCATAAAATAATTGAGTTAATATTATGATGTTGGTTTCTTTATAATAAATGATAAATTAATGTTCAAATGATAAAGTATAATATAATTATAAAATATATTATATGTTGTATGCATGAACATTGAATGTCTCAAAAACATATAAACTAATGACGTATTGAAACAGTAGATTTAATATGTAATTTTAATTGTTCTACAATATTTATTATTAGTTTCAATAGATATTAACGCCTAAATTTTTGTAAGAGTTTCAAGTCATATTTAATACAATAATATTCTTCTTCATGACACACCAATATACTTATCATAATGTATGAAAATACTTACGAGTTATTTTAACTAGCATGCTATCATATTACTTAGTAATTAATTTAGAGTTATAAGTTAGTAGCATATAAATAACATAACAATATAAACTTGAAACGTATTGATTATTATGCCTAGTAAAGTATAATAATAATAGCTAAATCAAGTTATATATGCAGTAATTAAATTATCAATCAAAGATTTATGCAAGTCCTATTAGAGATGTTATAAACATATAAATGTATACCTGACTCTAAAAGAAAGTTGATTAACTTTTAGAAATTAATTTTGAATTAAGTAGGTCTCGGTTGGTTAGAGACTCATGCTGATAACGTGTTGTAAAACAAGAGGAAAATGCAAGAATACTTGAACAAGAAAGTAAGGCAAAGTTTGATGGAAAGTATAAAGTTGAGAGCCTTATTTTAATCTCTTCAGTTGTGTATTTCTTATGGGTGAAGAAGACCCTTTTATAAGAGGTAGAAATCATCCGTTTACTACCTTAACCAAAATACGTTAGTAATCTTTAATTCTTACATTAGATTAATACATGCATTACGTTAGGTTGATGAAAAGAAACATCCATATTAAATGGATTTGTAACAACTATAATAAATTAGGGTAAGGCATAAATTTACTTGAAATTATTCCAAAAAATCAGTTATTAAATTATTATGACAATCTATTATATATATACTAGTTACAGTAGCCCGTGCTAGCACGGGCCCAACATATTTTTTTATTTTTTATTTTAATTTATGTGACATTAATAAAATTTTAACGGTCAAATAATTTTTTTGTATGTTCTTTAAATTTTAAGTTGTTGATTATTGTGGTTAATAATACTTTATACGTAATTTTCAATATTCTCTTTGTCCCAATTTATGTGTCATTGATAGAATTTCGAAAGTCAAGCAAATTTTGTATATGTCTTTTAGATTTTGAAGTTATTTAATTATTATGAGTTATAGTACATTTTACGTATATGTTACTTTTTCTATCCCAAACTATGTGACATTAGTAGAATTTTGAGAGTTGATCAAATTTTTTGTATGTCCTTTAAATTTTGAAGTTGCTAATTATTGTGTGATTTGTAGTACGTTTCATGTTATTTCAAATAATATATGTTATTTCCTCTATCCTAATTTATATGGCACTAATAGATTTTGAGCTTCAACCAAATTTTATAGATGTCTTTATAATATTTTAGGGTTTAATTACCTCTTTTTGATTTTTAATCCATTAATATGCTTTCTTCACAATTATCAGTAGAGCTACCTTTCAGTGTTGATGGTTTAGCAACATACCCTTAAAAGAACAGACCAACGAAAGCTTCCTCTTATTGCTTATTGTGCGTATTATTAAGTAAAAAGTATTCTAATTAATTCTACTAAAGATTCACTAATTGAATGCTGAGAGAAATTAATTAATGTGAGAAAAGTACTGAAAGAAAGACTTAATCCTACTCCATCCGTCCAATAATTATTGTCTATTATACTATTTTGGAATGTCCTATAATACTTGTTCACTTTATGAAATCAATGGATAGTTTACCCCTTATCATTAATTATAGTCATTTTTCAAGTATATTTTTTAATACATTATATTTATTATATTTAAAGAGTGATATATTAATATTACTCTTTTATTTATAATTTCTTAAAAAATGTATAAAGTCAATACTGGAGAAATATTATTGGAGAGAGAATAGTTGATATCAGTCACCAAAGCAATACGAACTAAGTAGTAATAAGTGGGCCCATGTTTTCAGAAAGTTGTGTGAATTATTTGTAGTTTTAAGGGGACAAATTAGTCCAATAGATACAAAAAATGAAATGCAGCTGCACTACTCCTTTAACTAACCAATTGAATTACTATTTTTCATGTGAAATTACAAAAGTAACATCTGAGGATTTTTTTTGTCAATTCCCATAAATGGGAAGCTCCTCACATTCACTCTTATTAATAGTAGTAATAATATAATAATTTTCAAAGTTGAATTAGATTGTATTAATTTGATATTTTAAACAAAAAATTTAAATATGTAAAATCTATACAAAAAGTACTATAAATTGTAATTTTTTGCATATGAATATGATGAAAAAACACATTGTAAAATATTAGTTAAAATTCTTATAGTTTGACTCTAAAAAGGAAATCATAACAATTAAAAGTGTATAGAGAGAGTAAATAGGTAATCAAATTTCAAGAAGTTTAAAATAAAAGGTTGAAAAAAAAGAATAAGATAGACAACATATATTAAAAATTGAAAACATATAAATAATAAATGAGCCCAAATGAACACTTGTCATATGGTAAGTAATAGATATTCCCACTTATTATATATAGTAAAGTGTAAAGTAATATTCAAAAGCGTATTTATTTATCTCTTTCTACACTCACTTGAGATATTATGTAATTGAGTGAAAGTCACTCGCCCATGGTAATGTTGAGTCTTACCTGAACTTCATCCTAATTCATTTCACCAGATTCGATTCATTTCACCAAATCCATTTTATTTCACCACACAAATTCATTTTATTTTACCCACCCATTTAATTTCTCTAAGAACAACAAAATTTAATTGACAAAATTGACCGTAAAGCAAAGAAATTGCTAATGATTGTTAAATATTTCTTCGGTATATATCACCTCAAAATTCAAATTGTTAAATTAACTTCCTCTATCTATAGCCAGAGAAGCTTCCCGAGGGCTATTTTGATCATTTTAGATTACTTTCTTCATCTTAATTAATTTATTTATTTAATTATATATTTAAAGCTTATAATAATCAATAAATTTAAAATTTTAAAAGACATATAAAAATTCATATTCGGTTTGACTCTCAAAATTTTATTAGTATCAGATCGAGAGAAAAAGTAACACATATTATTTGAAATACTATAAAAAGTATTATAAGTCATAATAATAAATAATTAATATTTTAAAAGACATAAAAGATTAAAATGATTCTCGAAAATCTATCAATACCACATAAATTAGGAGAGTGAAATATATTATTCGAAAATAACATAGAAGGTATTATAAATCACAATAATTAATAATTTGACATATTTAGAAAACATACACAAAATTTGGATAATCTTTGAAATCCTATCGCATAAATTGGGATAGAGTAAGTAACATATATTATTTGAAAATGACTTAAAAAGTATTATAAATTAAAATAATTAACAACTAAAAATTTTAGAAGACATAAAAGATTGACTCTTGAATTCTATCAGTGTCACATAAAGTGAGATAGAAGAAATACCATATATTATTTGAAAATTACGTAAAAAGTATTATAAATCACCCTACTTAATAACTTAAAATATCTATGAAAAAAACATATTAAGAATTTGATTGACCCCCTAAAGCTATTTGTGTCACGTAAATTAAAACCAAAAAATAATAGGGAAAAGAACACTTATACCAAAAAAAGGAAAATTATTTACAAGCACTACAACAAAAACAACTTTTAGCGGCAATAAATATTGATATTAATAAAGAGTGTTAAAGTCTTTACCGGCATTAGTTAAGTGCCATTAGAACCAATGTCGCTAAAGACTTTAGGGACATATTCAAAGAGTGGTAATTGCCGTTAAAAATACATATTTAGCGGCAATTAATTTAATTGCCGCTAATGATCATTTTTTATGTAGTGAAGCGACTATCCCCTTACTTTCATACCCCTGTTTTAAATACTAATGCGCGTTTACTGCTTGATACCATCAAAGTATATATATTCTCTGATAGTATCCAAGATGAAGAAACAATGAATCGGTGTATAAAACGTGGAACAGTCGGGTAAATAGTCTGAACCATAAATCCAATCAGGATAAATATATTGAATTGGGTCTAATTTTTTTGAGTAAATACTTTGCCAAATAAGACCTTTGTATCATTTCCACAAAATAATAGGTATATATTAAGCCCATATTAGTACAA